CGATTCCTCCACCCCTCACGGAGAGCCAGGTAAGCTACTGAGAGTATCTAGCCCACATGGCAATGCCTGGCAAGCTACCCATGGGTATTTGATATGCCAAACACAGTAACTAGTGTCACAATGGAGATGGTAATGGACCCGCCCGAGCAAATCGATGAACGACGGGGAGGGCAGTGACAGTGACAGTGACTGATCTTGCTTGATCACTTGTTCTAGAAGTCAATAAAAAATGTGGATTTTTTTTATCATAACTCTTCTAATCCTGTATATTTGCATGAGACATTTGTTTCTGTGGGAGGAGATAACAGTACCAATTTAGGTAGAAGATTATAGCAAATGCTTCAATAAGCACAGGTGCATATCCCAATACACAAAGATCCACACGTACCTGAAACTATCTGCATTATATGCACAAACATTAGCAGTTGTATCTAATTTCAATTCTCAGGAAGAATTTAAGCACTCCTAGTTGGCAATTCTTCTTTATTATCATTCAATTTATATCTATTTGCCTAAATGGTATCTTAAGGTATGAAATAAGAAATAAGGCAAGGTATTAAGTCGTAATTCCAAACCTTCTGAAATATATCTCAAGTGGTAATGAGTGGGAGCTATGACACTTAGTCAAGGAGCTGCATCTAACTGAAAATCTATTGTTGTTTTTTTTTAGGTACTATCACTTACAAGTAAAGTAAGTGTTAAAAATTTATCATTAATGTGAGACTTTGTTTTTTTAGTTTTGGGGCCACACCCATCAGTGCTCAAATCATCACTCCTGGCAGGCTCAGGGGAAATATATGGGGTACCACGTATCAAACCTCGATCAGCTGAGTGCAAGGCAAGAACCCTACCCTTTGTACTTTGGCCCTGAGAGTTTGTTTTCTTATCCATAAACTAGGAATGGTAGTATTTTCAACATACAGCATGGCTGCAGTGATGTAAATCTTTGTGAAAATGCAAAATGCTACAAGTTAGGAATTAACCCTAAGAATAATTTATAATCATCTCTTTAAAAGTCAAGTATAACCAAGATTAATTTTTTTTTTTTTTGCTTTTTGGGTCACACCTGGCGATGCACAGGGGTTACTCCTGGCTCTGCACTCAGGAGTTACTCCCTGGCGGTGCTCAGGGGACCATACGGGATGCTGGGAATCGAACTCAGGTCGGCCGCGAGCAAGGCAAACGCCCTACCCACTGTGCTATCTCTCCAGTCCCCCAAGATTAATTTTTTAAAGGAATTATTCCCTTACAACTTGTTACATAGCTTTTAATAAGAAAAGTATTGCGGGGATCAGAATGATAGTACAGTAGGTTGCCGAGTGGCCTACCTGTGTTTGATCCCTGGCACCACATATGGACCCCCAAGCCCCACCAAGTGTGATATCTGAGCGCAGATCCAGGAGTAAGCCCTGAGCTTACTTGCCAGGTATGACCCCAAAACAAAAAGAAACAGATAAAAAGGCATTGTTTTCTTTTCAGAGAGATGGCATGAGCAATACATTCAAACTAATGCTGATACTACCAATGAACTGCTAGCAGAAGACTCCAGAGACTTGTTTAGAAAAGAGAAAAAGAAAACAAGAGAAGCAAAACAAATTGGACTGTAATTTTAGTTCCTCTTATTCAGACTGGTTTTAATATGGAGATATACCTAATAATCTGTGTCATCTTACACTAGAAGTGAACTTGAAAAGCTACTGGGATGTAAATCCTTTGGAGCAGTTCAATAGCTCTGATTTCAAAGTTGTTTTAGGTATTAACCATGAAAGAGTCACTAATGGCTTTAACCCTTGGAGACCAAAATGGATTTGTTTGCCAATGTTTTTTCCATTAATGAAGATTACACAGCTAGGTCCCTAGTGACATTTGTTTATGTTAGATCTCCAGGAAGCAGAAATTTACACTATGGTGGAAAAATAATACCAGCACAGTAGTTAGTTCTCCAATTATCTAAAAGGCAGTACAAGACAATACTTTGAAAATGTTGGGTTTTGCTATTACCCTATAGGAAATCAATATGCTTATAATAGCTGCATGGAAAAACTTTTTCCCTCTACTGAAAGTTATATGGAATATATGTCTTGATGTATACATTTTCATCAGATAAAAGCACTAACAAAAATTCTAGTGCCATATTTCTAAGACATTATGAATCTAAAGATGCAGAAGGTTCTTTTAGCTAAACTATACAACAGTAGCTGCCTTTCTAGTCTATACATATCTCCCAAGTATGCAAAAAAAGTCCTTTTTTAGCACTTTTTCCCCCAATTAATTTTCTCACCAGCATATCAGTCAGTCTCTTTTTCCCTCTAACTCTCTAATTGTAGTACTACGTTCCAATATGTAGAAGTGCTCAAAAATATTTTCAAATTTCCTAACTTCTGGACTCCCATTTATTAAATTTTGCTACTACATACAACGCCTCTGCTTAATAAGCAGGCAAAGTGAAAAATGCTTTTTGTGTGTGTGAAGCAAGGTTTTTATTGAAACTTATTAAGAGACGTATGAGGGGGGAGAGAGAAAGAACATGTTCAAGCGAGAATACAGGCTTCTCTAGAGCGAAAACAGGCAAGCCAAGAAACATGGAAGACAAGCAGGCAAGAGAGGTGTTTGAGGGAGAGCACAGGCTTGATGAACAAGCCTTCAAACTGCATTTGTAATTTTGGTAGATGTGCCAGTTTCTGTGCAAGAGGGACTCTACTATTTTGCACTAAGATCAAATGTATGAGCATTTATTTCCTGAAGATTATTCATAAAAATTAATTTGCCAGAATTCCACCCTCCAAATTCTGACTCAGTAGATAAAAGAATAGACATGAGCAGACTTATCTTGAAAATTGCATATCCCTGGTTAAAAAAACCTGCTCGTCCAAGTATTCCAGTCTAGTATATATTATTCAAATCCAAAACAAAATCAGCTAAGTTTCTGCCCCTCAGTGTACATCACATCAGTCATTTACTGGATATGTTTTCAGTGGCAACTGTGTGCTGGGTACTACAGAATATATATACATATACACACATATGTGTGTGTTTGTATATATATATGTATATATATATATATATATAAAACAACACCAGATACATAATTATGAAACGATGTATAAGCACAGAGCTAGAGACTTACATAGTTAGTGGCAATACTAAAATGGGGTAATTCACCAGAACAGGAGTGCCACAAGCAACTTTCTAAAGGAGGTGCTCCTGAGCTCAATAGCAATTATCCAAATGGTAATGGTATAGAAGAGAGGTGGAGCATTGAAGGTAGAAAATAACGTGCAAAGACAAGAAGTAAGAGAGAGGAAGGATGCATGTGTTACTGGAAACATTTCCTATTACTAAGGCATAAAATACTAGCTAAAGTAAGTAAGTAAGTAAAGGCCCTCCCGTTGATCGTCGATTTGCTCGAGCGGGCCCAGTAACGTCTCCATTGGAGACTTTGTTGTTACTGTGTCTGGCATATCGAATACTCTCGGTAGCTTGCCGGGCTCTCCGAGAGGGGCGGAGGAATCGAACTCGGGTCGGCCATGTTGGCTGCGTGCAAGGCAGACGCCCTACCCACTGTGCTATCGCTCCAGCCCTAAAATACTAGCTAGAGAAACAATAAGTTGCAAAACTAGACAGAGATGAGATCACTGAGCATCTAGTTTATTATGTTAAGAAGTCAAAACTTTCTTCTATATTTATACATTTCCTTTTTCTACATAAGGAAAGAAAACACTCAAGGATTTTAAGACCGGGAGTGACACAATCAGATTATTGTCTTACTCTTTTAGACTTAACAGATGATGAACTAGAGAGCAACTAACTGGAAAAAGAAAGAATAAGAAACTTGGTACAGTAATTCAAATAAACTGAAATAGGACAGTATTAAAGGAAGAATGGATTGAAGAAATCTTAAGCAAAATGAGCACAATATAGACACCAGATGTGAAGATCAAGAGGAAATGAAGGAATAATTTTAAAGCTTATAAAAAACTACCAGATGGGCTGGAGCGATAGCACAGCGGGTAGGGCATTTGCCTTGTACGCAGCCAACATGGCTGACACAGGTTCGATTCCCAGCATCCCATACTGTCCCCCAAGCACCGCTAGGAGTAATTCCTGAGTGCATGAACCAGAAGCAACCCCTGAGCATTGCCAGGTATGACCGAAAAAGCAAAAATAAATAGACAAATAAAATAAAATAAAAAACTACCAGTAAAGCACTAATTCAAGTTATTTCTCCAGAAGTTGTGACAGGTTTACTCTGATTTGATCATGTTCTTTTACCTGGTCTTGACGTATATACAGTCAAGGAAAGACATATGGGGCCCAGCATAGGCAGAACTGGTGAGCTGCTCCTTTAGCATCGTGCTCTAATCAACTAAGTAAAACAAATATACACACCCCCAACAGGCAAACTCAGTACTACAAGGTCAAACCTCTGACAAAGCCTCTCTTGTAGTAGTAACCTATTTGGTGACTCTCAACTTCATTTTCACTATGCCCATGAAATCACCTAGACAAGGACCTAAACAACAGTCAAACAACATATATACTGCAAACAGAGAACAGGATTTGGTCAAGGGGCAATAGCATGAATGCTTTCCCAACTGAATGGCTGCTTTCCCAAAAGGCAACCCAGAGCCAACTTGATTATAAAGCCAAGCTTTATAATATTCCATTTTGGGCAGTCTACAGTCCTGCCACCAACCAAAGTCAATCTCTGGAGATGAGTCAAGATCGAAGAACTAAGTTTCACTTTTTTTACACTCTCTTTTTTACTCCCTTCTCCATAGGAGTGTAATAGTCCTATGGAGAAGGGAGTTGTGTAAAACCCACACTAAATCTGGAACTTACCTTTCTTCTCAGAATTTTTTCTAATACACAAACTGAAGGAAAACTAAAGCTAATCAACAACCATAGGATGAAAACAAGTCTGCCTCTTAGAAAATGCATGAAAAACACACACATACGCGCACACACACACACACACACACAGAGTTAACAAAACTTACCTTTCGTTTATCTTCATCAGTTGACTCAAATTTGAAAGTAGCCCTATGCTGAATGGGAAAAAAGGGAAACAATGTTATTTTAAATATACAGATCTAAAATTCTGAATGTCTTTGTAAAAATTATGCCTTCCTATAACATAACTTAATATTGTTATTTAAGAGAAAAGGCACATAAGCAAATAATCAAGAAGCAGTGTAAAAAAAAAAACTACAGGAGAAATATATACCAAAACAACACGGTACCAAGGACAACATGGTACCAAGTCACTAACTGAGCCCAGGGAGATCTAGAATGTTTTGTGTAAAGTATAGAGCATCTGAGACAAACCTTGAGAAATGAAGAGGGGTTTATCAGGAGGTAAACAGAAAGCAGTCCAGAGATAGAAACAAAGACTCAAATGTGGAAATGGTGTGAAGTGAACAGTTGTATCAGGAAAAAAACAGAACAAATGTTAGACAACAAGAGGAGAGGAAAAAGATCAAAATAGAAAGATGGATTGTTCAGAGATTTGAAGGACCCTTCCAACTGCGCTGAGGAGTTTATTTTCTTTTTCTTATGTAGTAAGTAACATCAGAGAACTGTAGGTAGAGAAGACTTGTTATAATTGCATTTTAGAAAGAAAGCTGAATGAGGATAAGGATCATGGTCACTTACTAACGATTACTTCAAATTATACTTGGAATTGTCATGTGAAAAGAGGGTCTGCCTAATTCACTGAGCTGCTATGAGAGTTTATAGTACTAAGGCACATAACGGGTCACAGTTCCCGGTACAAAGCAAACACTCAGCATATATTAGAATTATTAGAGTTATAAAGACAATGATAACAATACTGAGTAAACAACAACTGAAAGAAAAGACAGTGTTATTACTCTCCTGAAATGATTGGCTGAACACAGTATTTTTCTCCTAAAAGATAAAATTGAGTATAGACTAAGCTGACTTGTCACAGAAAAAGTGAAAGCACCCAAAATTTAAAGAATTTCTCATTCTTGAGTTTATTAACATATACTCAGGAATTCTGCTCCTTTAAAAAAAAATTCACTAAGTATCTTTCTGCTTTTCTGCTGTATTTCTTTCATTACCACACTGACATTGACTCGAAATCTATCAGGTATTAAGTACACTAAGTACTAAATATCTCACTATTAGAGGTAGTTGTGATTGACCACTCTAAAAGAAGCAATTTTGGAAACTAAATGAGATGGAACTGAAACACAGCCCTGAACATAAGAGGTGGTCAGAGGGAAGACTTAAAAGGTTAGATAGAAAAGGTCCTTTGAAGAAAGCTAAGAGAGGCTGCCTCAAATATGGTTGGCAAAACAATGAAAATGGATGAAATTAGGAGGAAAGGGTTAGAATTTTAAAATGTATACCTATACTGGCAGCTAGGCAACCAAAGACTATAAAAGAGTCTTTGGTTGAAGAGTAGAGCATTCTGGAAGAGTATTTTGGACACTACTTTAAAGGCCAAATCTGAAGAGCGCAAGACTAAGGACATAAAGCTCTCTGAGATACAGGAATTAATATTCCCAGAGTGATGTTGCTGGCAGCAGTATAAAATGACACAAACTTAAAAGGGAAAGTGATTTAGCAACACATATTAGAAACTATAAAAATATTCATACCCTTTGACCCAGAATTTCTACTCCAAGGAATTTATCCTAAAGAAGTCATCCAGAATGAGAGATCATGTTTGTAAGCATATTCACTGTAGCATTTACTTAATAGAATGAAAAAGAGGAAAAACCTGAATATTCAACAAAATTTACCAACTGTTGTGGATGCATCCATCAGATATGATTTTTTTTTTCTTTCTGCTATAAGATGACCAAAAAGCTCTTCAACAAGGGAAATTACTTATGACAGCATCAAAAATAGTAAAACATTGAATTATATATTTATGATGACAGTACCTATGTAAATATTTGCATGTATTCAAAATCTGAGTGTAAAAAAATAAAAGCAACTAAAATAGAATGGTATTATTTCTGGTTATTTCTATGACAAAACTCATTGCTGGAATAACATTTTTATAATTAAAAGAGAAAATTTAAAAATAAAAGACAAACTAATTAAAAGAAAAAACTAAGGGAAGGAAGAAAGAACAAGTTGGAAACCTGAAGGCTGTAACTTAGAATTTTATAGACATGAAGTCAGTGAGACTAACATCAGATAAAAGATGAAGCAGTGCCAGATATCAAACTAAGGTTGAAAACTGAAGCTTAGGAAGGGTCCAACACAAATGAAAAGAACTATACTTAGGAACCAGAAAATTTTGTTTCTTCATTATATGTGAAATATTAATTCTATAAGTAATCTGGATGCCATGATAATCTTTTTTTGACATTTATGGCAAAAGGGACAGTAAAAGAAACTCTTGAAAAAAGACCCTTGAAAGATAGAAAAATACGTTTCAAAGTGTCCCTGCAGAATTAATTTTTTTAAGGTGATAACTTATAACTATCTCAGGCTAATTTTTTTTCTTGATGTTTAAATGCAAGCTTGATTCTGTCATAAAACTGCAACATTGAAAGAAAAGCTTTCAAAAGCCTTTTCTAACTAGCATAAGGACTACATTTGCCCCCCTTTGGATTTCTGTGCCAAACCCCCGCATACTTGGGGGCTATTCCCAACACTAGAGCTCAGATGTTGGTCCCACCAGCACCCAAGGGGACCATCTAGAGTCAGGGATAGAACCTGGGATTCCAGCATAAAGAGTACGCGCGCTGGTCCTCTAAATTATCTCCCTTTCCATGAGGGCGGAATTGTCTTAGCAGGGTGGGATTTGGACCATACTTTTCATTGCTTGGGGGCTACTTCCAGTTCTGTGCTTGGGGGTTCACTTTCAGCAGTGGTTCGAGGGCCCAAGTGGTGCTGGCAATCAAACTGGGATTGGTCACAAACAAGGAAAGTGCTCTAGTTCTTAATTATCACTCATCCATCACAGCTGAATTTAGTTAGAAAATACATAGGGCTGGGATGTAGCTTAGTGGCAGAATGCAGGAGGCCCTGGGTTTGGTCCCTGGCACCACAAAACAATAACAGCAACAAAACTACACTAACTCCCCACTCCTCTCTTTCCCCCAGTCCCTGGTAACAACAACAACAACAACAACAGCAACAAAACTAAACCAACCCCCCCCCGCCCCCCCCAAAAACCCACCACCAAACAAAACAACTAAAGAAAGAAAATATACTGGTATGTAATGCTATACAAGGTAAAGGTAAAGGCCCTCCCGTTGATCGTCGATTTGCTCGAGCAGGCCCAGTAACGTCTCCATTGGAGACTTTGTTGTTACTGTGTTTGGCATATCGAATACTCTCGGTAGCAAAGAGTCTGAAATTACTTATTAAGTGTGTGACTTTGGTCAAGTATTCAACTTGATCAAGTACTCAGTTTTACTGCTCACTAGCTTTCTTATCTTTATGGACAGCACCCTGCATATAGCCGGTGTTCAGTAAAGGGTCACTGGTGGTATTACTGTGTGGCCTGTGATGTGGCATCTGGCCAAATACTGGTCTGTTAAAAACTAGGTATTAAAAAAATAAAATACAATAAAGGGGAAAAAAAAATAGGTATTATTTCAAATGAATCCTCAAAGAAAAGTATCAATACATGAGAATTAACCAAAAAGAGGTAGGTATATACATGTACTGTTTCATGAACAGGGTTTATTTCTGGAACTAAACACCAGTAACTGAGATAATCTAACTCACTGTGGAAAGAAGAACAAGGTATAACAAAAGAACAACCCACTAAACACACCTCTTCAAAGGCCTGTGGAATGAGAGTCCAAACTCCAAGTGGAAAGTAAAATGTTCTTTCACAGTCCAAAATAGATATATACAAAATAGATATATACCCTATGAAATGTGGAGGCTCTGTTTTTGAGAACTGTCCTAATATTAGGTCCTATCAATCAGATTCTTCCACCACATAAAGGACAATATTGCTATTAGTATAATTTTCATCTCCTCTGAGGACTACTCCTGGAGACCTACCGTTTTATCTGTAATATTACATAACTTTTACCTTTCATTGACCATTAACCAGCTATAATTCCAAAGTGGAAGCCTGCTGGAGCCTATTATAGGGAAATAATATGCCCAGATGGCACCTGTGGCTGCCAAACCATCTCTCCGACTATCATCATGGTTGATAACTCTAGGTCTCAGTGTCTTTACCTATTAACTGAGGAGGTTGGATTCAATTATTTTTGAGTTTCCTTCTAGTCTAAATAGCCATGATTCAAGCAACTGTGGTACTAGCATGTACTTCAGGGCCTTTGATGACTATTTGTTGTTGATTATAGCAATGGCAACCAACCTCTACTAAATACATAACAGGCCCGGAAGGAGGGAAAAAGAAAGCTTGGACAGCTAGCTAGGATAATATATATTTGCCATAATTAATAGCTCATTCTGTAACTATAGCGGAGATGATCAGGGTTTTGTAGTCGCCAAAGGAGATGTACACTACAGTACTCCTAAAAAGAGCTTACTTCTGACAGGATAAAGGCAACTGTGATCTTGGGAATCTAAGACAAGAATGTCACTTTCTAACTTGGTTTTCTTGACCCCACAGTCAGTCTGTCATTATGAAAATCAGTTTCATAATGAAGTACCCCCTCCCCAGCCACTCCCCCTCCACACACAAAAGCACATCCAGTTTCTTCTGAAAGTTTTCACATAAGATTATGCGTGATGACAAGTGAAAAGCATTCAGAGTAATACATAGTACATCGTACTGTAGAACTGTAGCATTGACCTGCTCGAGCAGGTACCAGTAACGTCTCCATTGTGAGACTTGTTGTTACTGTGTTTGGCATATCGAATACGCCAATGGGAGCTTTATGCTCTGCCATGCAGGAAGGATACTCTCGGTAGCTTGCCGGGCTCTCCGAGAAGGACAAAGGACTCAAACCCAGTTCAGCCGCGTGCAAGGCAAATGCCCTACCCGCTGTGCTCTAGTACAAAGCAGATACTCAAAAATGTTAAGAGGTGAATTGAAAAGAGTGAAGAAAATTCTGATATTACTTATTTTTTATTGGGGCCACTCCTGGTAGAGTGCAGACCAACATGGCCAGAGGACTCAAAGGCTACATGCGCCATACCTGGTAGCTCTGGAGAGACACAGGGACAGGTTAGGCTATGTTCAGGTGGGGTACTCCTTTTTGTTTTTTTGTTTAGCCTGGCAAGCTAACCGAGAGTATTCAATATGCCAAACAAAGTAACAAGAAGTCTCACAATGGAGACGTTACTGGGCCTGCTTGAGCAAATCAATGAACAACGGGAGGACAGGACAGGACAATACTTTTCTGTACAGGGAAACTCGCATTATGTCCTTGTGAAACAGACAACTTTCCATTTCTATGGGATCCACAGATCTACCAAGGGACAGAGAATGAAAAAAGCAAAGCTGGAAATGAAAGTTTCTGCAACACAGCACAACTTCGACATAGTTACCCAGAGTCATACAGGGAACTACGCTCTAAACATGGTAGAATGTATTTTGCTACCCAACAGAAGAACAGTAACTATCAAGGCAAAAGAAGAAATGGAGCATATTCCAAAATGTTTTATTGGGCTACGTCAACAGCTTAGGTGCCACAGGCATTCAGGCTTTAAACAGTGCCACAGGCTTAATTTCTGTCCTTTTTGGTTCAAAATTAACAGCTACAGGCTGTAGAGATAGTACAGGGATGAAGGGTCTTTTCTCGTGTGTAGCTAACCTTGGCTTGATTCCCTGGGCAGTGTGGTCTCTTGAGCACCACTAGGAGTGACTCCCCCAAGTACAGAGCTAGGAGCAGGATCCAAGCACTTTCAGGTATGGTTCAAAACCTCCACTTCAAAAACCAAAACCATAAACAAAACTAAAACACATGATTTTTTCCTCAGTGGTAAACACTGTTCTGAGAGCTTTACATATACATCTCATTTAATCTTGACAACAAATCCATGTTGCTATTGGCACTATTATTATTCCTGTTTGGCAAATGAGGAAAATGAAACACAACAAAGTTAAATAACTTGTCCTAGACCTCACAGAAGGTTAAGTGAGGATCAGAATCCAGTTTACAGCCTGTGCTCTGGCCACAAGACTCGAGCACCTTGACTATTATAAACGTTATCTAAGTAAATGCCTTCTGAGTACACTACCCAGTATCCAGCACTACATTTCATTTAAATCTCACAGTAACTTAGAAGATAAGTATCTGATCTGTTCCTTACAGATAAAGAAACTGATCCTCAAAGACTTGAAAATCACATCCATAATCATGAAGTTACTAGATGACCCATTTGAACCCAGGTTCATTTGACTACAAATTCCACCTTCTCACTCTATTTGAATACCTTCTTTCTAAGAATTGGACCTGTCTGAGAAATAAGGTTGCAGAAGAGAACCTTCCCCACCACAGTGAACCAATCATTCTCTATGTCATTCATTTCTTTTCCTGGTTAAGTCTAACCAAGACTCAATGCTTCATTATCATTCCATACGCTGAACATTTCTCGAATCTGTTTTTCCCATAAGGAAGATGAGTCCCATGGTATCCAGCTACTCTGTTAGAGCTGTAGACTCCATGTTTTTTAATTCCACCTCTCCATGCTTAGACTCAGTCACTGTGGTCATTACTGCCCCTTCCTGTTCCTCTGTTCCTAAACCCTCTTTCCTAGAGGGGTAATGCCCCACTGCCAACATAAAATTCAGCTATCTCTTTTACCCTAGCTCCGCTATAATCAGTCTCACTATAAACACAAATGTTCTTTACTTAACATGGGTGGTCTGGTACACATGAAGCCTGAGCATTCTCAGGGTTAGGGCCCAAATTTCAAGTGTTTCAGAATACTCCCAAACACTTCAGGAACACCATCTCTTAACATATATTGGGAATTACAATATTAAAAACATTCCCCATGTGGAAGGGGAGCTGGACATGTCCCAAACTTAAGCTCTGACTGCACTTGGCCAAGAATGCTAAGAAAAAACCAACCTGGGGGAAGGTCAATGAGAGGAAGAGATGAACTGGAGGAAGGCAATTTCGAGTCCTAATTCAGTTTTACCAAGAAGGGAAGGAGAATTAGAGATGGAGGTGACAAGATGCAAAGCTCCTATTTATTGATGGCTATCTGGCATATAGTAAGTGCTAGATGGTCATTAATTGATTTCACCCAAAGACCAGGTTTTTGGTAGTATTTCTGTCTTTTGCAAATCTGCCTCACATCTTTTTCCGAAAAGTTATAAATCACGGTAGATGCTAATACTCTCCATAATAATGCACACCAATGTATTAAATCAATTTCTCAATTAGGTGCCTATGTACCCATAGAACATTATCAGTTGAGTGAAGGAGCTAAAGTATGAACAGAAACGAATCCATGCATCTTCCCAAAGAGTAGTCAGACCACCTAGGTTCAAATCTCAGCCCCATCTCTCGATGGTGGTGCAGATCATGGACATTATTCTAAACGTTATCATTTGTGAGATGAGGAATACCACTTTGAGGAATATCACTCAGAGGACTGGCATGAGGATTAAACAGGAGCGAAGATGTCTTATTTTGGAGTCTTCTCCTCCTAGGACAAGCAGAGCTTCCTGGCAGCTCCAAAATATATGAATGCGCAGTGGTGGGCATAGAAGGGGAAACAATGAATGGAAAGAAATAAAACCGAGAGAGAGACAGAGACAGAGACAGAGACAGAGAGATGTTAGGCCTAGAGTGTGACTCGGTGTTGGTTTCTGAATAATGATCTATTATTCCAATCTAGATGAAGGAGTTAGGAGGTGGCTACTACCTCTTGAAAGGAGCATGTCAAATTCCTAGAAGGAAAAGGAACAGAGAGCCTAGGGTTCTAGAAGGGAGATTCAGAGAAGTGACTTCCAGACAGGTACTCTTTTTTTTTTTTTCCAACTGCAGAGCTGTCAAGAGGAACGCACAATGAATGGGTCGTTTGAAGACCCAGGTTGGAATTCCCACTCACAAGTATGACCTTGGGCAAGTTACTTAATGAAAAGGAGATTCCGCATGGCCAAACTCTTTGATTTAAAAAAAAAACCCCAAAAACCCAAAAACCAAAACACCCTCCCAGGGGCTGCTGTCAAGATGAAAAGAGATGAGGGATGGGGGGTGAAGGGGGGGGTGCTGCGAAGATGCTGCAAGGCGTTCGTCGGCGGGGGGTGGGGGGGGGGTCAGCGGGCAGTTCCCGCGTCCCCCTACTCAGAACACAACTCGCCAGTGACCTTGGCAGGGCTGCCGTGTGCCTCCGTTTGCTCATCTCTAAAATGGGGCAGCAGGAGCGGCTCCCCCACCACCCCCACCCCACCTCGGCTTAGAACCAGCCTGGGAAGCAGGTGAGCCCCGAGCAGAGCAGCGCCCGTGCCGGGGGGTTGGGGGTCCATGGCGGAGGGGGTGGGGGCGAGAGCGCTGCCGTCGTGGCGGACCCGCGTGCGCGGTGCCAGCCAGGGGCTGCCTTGGATGTCGTGGAGCCGCGCAATCTCGCCCGGGCCACACTCGACAGGTGAGACAACACCCCCTCCCCACCTCCGGACCCCCGGCGGGGCGGGCATCCATGCATCCGTGCATCCCGCAGCGGGGCGCGTGGCGCACCCGCAACCGGGGATTCCGGGGGTGTGCCTGCACGCCGCCGCCGCTGCCGGGGAGGGCAGAGACAGCCCGCGGGGGGCCGGGAGCCGAGGAGTGGGCGCCCGCGCGGGGGCGGGGTGGAAGGGGTGGAGGTGTGGAGGGGGATGCAGGATGCACCGCGGGAGGGGGTTACCAAAAAAAAAAAAAGGCTGGGGGGCACCACCACGCATGCCCAAGCCGGAAACGTTTTTTTCAGGGGGAGGGGGGGTGGGAAGAGCCACGCGCATCCCCGGAATGAGGGGCGGGAGGGCGGCGGGGGTGGGGGGCGGAGGCGGGTGCCAAGTGCCAGCCCGGCGGGCGGCCCGGGGGGCGCGATCGCGCGCGCGCCCGGGGTGGGGTGCTTGGGGTGGGGGGTGGGGGGGGCCGGGGCTCTCTTACCTTCTCGCTGTACTCCCGCAGGACCCGCTCGATAGCCGCTGCCTCGCCGGCCCGGACGATGTAGAGGGCGCGCTCCTCATCCATGGCCGCAGGTGCGGGGGAGCCGCGGCCGCGCTGCGCGCCCCAGCCGCTGCCTCCAGGTAAACGCCTCGCGCCCCCGCTCGCTCGCCCGCCCGCCCGCCCGCTCGCTCGTTCGCTCCCTCGCTCGCTCGCTCGCGGCTTCCCAGCTTCCTTCCTTCCCTCCTTCCCTCCCTCCCTCCTGCCTCCCAACCCGCCAGCCTCCGCCCGGGAGGCCCCGACGTCACCGCCCCTCAACTTTCACCCCGCAACGTCACCGCTCCCCCAGCAACCGGCGCCTCGAGGCCGCCCCCGACAAGGCCCCGGGGCGCGGGAGACCAGGCCTGGCGAGGGCCCGAGGCGGGGTCAGGCCCGGGGCGCGGCCGGCGCCCCGGCCTCTCCCGCCCGCACGGAGGCGTCCGCCCCGTTCCGGGGGCGCTCGCAGACCCGACTGTGCGCCCCGGACCCTCCGCTCTGAATCATTCTCCTCAGCTGACGAGAGCGAGCCCGGCTCTAAGCTGCCCCTCTCTGAAGCGCCGGCCGCGGGACGGACTACGCTTCCCGGCGTGCACCGGGCGCGCTCCGCGCTGCCCTCTCCCTTACGGGCGGGCCGCGCGGCCTGCCGGGAGTCGTAGTCCTCCCGCGGGAGCCGACTTCCCGCCCGCGGCATGCTGGGAAGTGTGGTCCGGCGGCGGCCGGAAGCGGGAGGCTGGCGGCCGCCTGAGGCCAGCGGCTCCGAGACCGTTAGGGGGAGGGTCAGCGCGTTGGCGGCGCTGCTGCAGCCGCGGCTGCTGCTGCTGCTGCCGCCGCGGCTGCTGCCGCCGTTGACTTCATTTTTTTTTTTTCTTTTTCTTTTTCTCTTTTTTTTTTAGTTCCCGACCGTGCCCGAGCGCGGACCTGTTGGAGCGCAAGGCTCGGCTCGGAGCGCTTGGCCAGCCCCGGACGCCGCTTGGCACCCCCGTGGGTGGGAGGTGTCAGAGCCCGGTTTCACGCCCTCCTCGCGCGCGTATAGCGGTTTCCTTCTCGGGGAAAGTCCTGGCTTCCTGCCGCGTTGGCGGCGATGCCGGGGGGTGGGAGAGTGGGGGGAGAGCCGCAGGTAGTGTTACCTGCCCCCCGTGACGACCGCCGCCTCCAGGGAGCCGCTCCTGCTCGCGAAACGGGAGCTGCTTTGGTGGCAGGCAAGCCCAGGTGCCCGTGCTCCGTGTCCCAGAGCCGGTCCATGGGGGTCGTCGCGGTTTGAATCCAATTTTGAGACACCACTCCCCCCAACACATACACACACACACACACACACACTCACACACACACTCACACTCCCCTCACCCCTCCAGGCTTCTGCTCTGCCCTCCCCAGTAAATGTTGTGATCCTGACACACTAACAGTGGTGGTGGGTGCTGGTGGTGGTGTCGACGTGGAGGAGGAGGACAATGATGGTGAATGATGGTGGTGGTGAGGATGGATGAGGTGACGGTGGAGAGTACAGTCTTGGTGATGAGGATGGTGGTGATGAAGAGGATGGTGGTGAGGAGGATGGTGATGTGGTTGCTGGTTGTTGATGATGGTGAGGATGGTGGTGAGGAGGATGATCTGATTCTGTGGTGCTGATGGTGGTAGGGATGATAAAGGGGGTGACAGAGGCTCACCTGTGGCAAGAGCTCGTTAGCATAAAGGGCATTGGACTGCATATTTGCCCTGTAGTTCAGTCTTGTGCAGGTTCCTAATGTGAATGAATGTTCGAGAACCTCTGCTGGGCCAACTACTGCTCTTTAGCTCATTGCATCACTGTTCATTGTAAATACAGTAGGGCTTGTCCAAATAGTGGTCCCCACGCTTGTTCAAGCTTTCCATTCGAGTGTTTAGACTTAGGAGGGAAGTAGCAGTTCTCATTCTCGCACGAGGAAATGGAATATTGGAGAGGTTAATTTCCTGAGATTGCAGAATTTGGAAACTGAATTTGAACTCAGAGTCTAGGCTCTTTTTTGTTCCTTTCCCAGATGGTTTGGTAATGGATGGATTCTCCAAGAAATCTCCAGTTGTGCATTCCAAATCTCTTCTTGAGTTGTACTGAATAGGAAGTAAAGGTGGCAAACATTTATACACTAATAATTACTGAAGTTCTTCTGTATCAGATATCTCTTTTGTCTGTAAACTTGGAGATAAAAATAAGCAATTTGAACCCCTGGAGCTTTTGGTCTTTCTGTGGGAAGGTTATACTTTTCCTTAAGCAAACATTAAACATACTAGAGAGATTGGACTTTTTTGTTAGTTGTAGATTTTTTACACCAATGTGAATGTTGTCTGCCCTAGGCACCCATGTTGAGCCAGGCTTTGGGGTAGGTGCTGTGTACATAATAAGCCAGGAAATTTTTTATTCATTTCTTTGAAAAAGCACACTTAGGTCACAGGATGGTGCACTACATTCCTTTAGTAACTATAAATATTGCAATTGTTTCTAACAGTGTACAAAACATTTTCATATACACAGTCTCATTGGAACTTTGAAGAAAGTAGTATCCCCACATAAAAGAAAAGCTGATTCAAATGTACTAGTAACATGAACTGAAATTCAGAGCTATAATAAAAATTTGGATGCTGCTTTATGTCCAGTACTGTTAATGTGCTTTTTTTTGGGGGGGGGGTTACTGTAGATTAATGAACAAGAACTCCTTGATAGGATACTGAAGAGCAGAAAGTATCTGAATGTAAATGTTTTTCTATTTATTTATTTATTCATTGAGCCATACCTGTTAGTACCCAGAAACTACTCTTAGTCTGTGCTCTGGAATTGCTTGTGGCAGTACTCAGGGGACCATGTGGTACCAGGGACAGAACTCAGGCCTCCTGCAGGCACAGCATGTGCTCACGCTATTGAGCTATCTTTCCAGTCCTACAAATGCTTCTTTTAAAGAGGATGTGCTTGAAAGACCTGTTTAACAAAAATAGGTTTATGCTTTTAGGCTCCAACTATGTACTTCTAAAAAGAAAAACTTTTAATGTGAAACCACACAAGTTAACAGTTTGGGAAGTTGTACTTTAGTCACTTTAATTAAGTGCTAATATTCTGATTTTATAAATCAAAAGGATCTTTGACTCTAATTCAAGTCTTCCTTTGACCACTGACGAGACTCTGGTCCTAGAAAAATTAAGTGACTTGTCCAAAGTCAATAGTTAGAAGCAGACTCTGGGACTAGAGCCTAGACTGGCCAAATCCTGAGTCCCTACATCATTTACCTTCCTGAATATTTAGCAATAGTATGTTCTACAGCCTCTAGACTCCAGTTCCTGTTGACTTGGGAATGATGTAGTACTATATAGGCTTTGAAACCTGGGTCATCAATGCAATGAATTATTCACAAGTCAACTGCTCTGAGAGACAGTAGTGTATCTTGGTACATATCTATGGTTAGTGCTTCAATCAGAATATCTCCATGTGCATTTTTTTTTTTGGATGGGAGGGGTGGGCACACACTTGGCTGTGCTCAGAGCCTATTCCTGCTTCTGTGCTTGGGGGTTACTCCTGGAGGGCTCAGGGGATCATATAGGGTGCAGAGGATTGAACCCAGGCCAGCTGCCTACAAGGCAAACACTCTACCTGCCATACTATTTCTCTGGCCCCCTCTACATAAAATTTTTTTCTTTTGCTTTTTGAAACCCACTCAGCTGTGTTTCAAGGCTTACTCTTGGCTCTGTGCTCAATTATCTCTCCTGGAAGGGCTTGAAGGACCATGTGTGGTCTCAGGGATCGAACCCAGGTTGACCAGGTACAAGATAAGTGTCCTATGAGCTATAGATTTGCTCCATCCCTCACATAATTTTATTTAATCCTTATAATAGCTGAAAAATACAAGGTCAGTAGGACAGGCACTATCTTCCTTTTTATAGAGAAAAGGGAAGTTCAGGATGTTGATTAGCTGGCTCATAAGCAATCAGTCTGCTAATAAGTGGTAGAGTTAAGGGCTATAGGGCTATAAGTGTTCTGGGCTCTGATATTATAAACCACTCTGGACTTTCAGGTCAGGGCCAGTGGGAAAGCCTACAAATAGATAATAGTCATTTATTTTGGACTTTGATATATCCTGCTGTGGCGTTTCCTCTCATGACAATGGGATAGTTGAAATGTGCCAAATTGAATGTTTTTTTTTAAGGAGTACCTGTTACTACTTTTAAAATCCAGATCTTTCACATGTCACCGTTTTCCACCTTTTCTTCCCTCTAGGAAGAAGAAATTAAAAAGCTAAACAACTTGGTCCAGTCACTGCCTAGCTCCAGAATTAGAGTTCAGAGAGTTTTCCTCACTGAAGATTAAATCTGTCACTCAACAACCATCAGGATTGACAAGAGTCTCTGTCACCCAAACCACAGTGTCATCTGTAGCAAAGTAAAGATACTGCTCCAGATAGTATTTTTATTCTCCCTAAGGTTAAAGCATTTATAATTCTGAGAACAAAATCATATTTGAACACATCCATTCATTAGGAAAAGACTGAGGTTGGATCAATATACAGATGAACTAGCAATATGATTTATATAAATCATTGCTTGCACATTCTGCAAAGATGGAGTCACTTGTCTGTGGTGAGACCTGAGTACTGGTAGTTTTGCAGGCTGCTCAACTGATTCACATAAGCAGCTAGCCCGAACCACTGGGTCAATGTTTTGATAGAGTAACCACCAGTTAACTTGGTTTTTGTCAGACTGCCAAACTCATGCACGTGACTCAACCTTGAGAAACAACTAGCAAGATGAAAGTTATTTTAATTGCATTGTCTATCAAGGGTGAAGTCTCCCTTTCAGCTGGAAAGTTATTTAACATGTTTTTGTTTTTTTGTTGTTTTTTTTTTATTTAACAAAGATTTGGTGCTTACTGGTGTATAGCATTGTCTGAGATGCCATAAAAAATGAAAATGATTGATCCTGTCCTTCAGGGATATAAGAAACAGTCTGACAGTAAACTAATATTTTCTGCTGATAGGGTGGAACAAACTGAAATTCTTTGAAAGTCAAAGACAAACACTGGTGGTAAAAATACAGTACCTTGAGAAGACTTCTTGGAGGAAGTAGACCATTGAGAGAGACAAGAGGAGAGCTTAGAGGGTTGGTTGCTAGACAGAGCTGAGCAGCATGAATGGAGAGGGAGTTCAGGAGGCTAAAATTATTAAGACAGTGATTGAAAACTGCTCCCAATTTTGTGAATTTGAAAGCTA